GAAATCAGTTTGAAAACAAGCGAAGCGGAAAAATGCATGACCCGCTTCGACTTCGAGCGAGGCCAAAAACCGGATGAGAGAGGACAAAGGGGGTGGAAAATGTCACCGAATGGCGGAAAAGGGGGTGGTTGCGGAATGCTGGGTTCAACAGTTCAGCAGTTGGCCATGGTTAAGTGCTGGAAATTATGTTATGCTCGTCGGCCATTGTTTTATGTCTCCATTCGAGGATTATTGGTCATGCATGAGGAGTCACCGCCCACCGCCACCCACTCAACCTTCACCACCCCCTTTTGCTCCCTGATTAACTCAATAAATAAACAATTTCCAGCAGTGAAGAGGAATTTCTGGACATTGTTTGGCCAGCAATTCAATTGAGACACACTTTTCGGGTCTCCTGCAACAATAAAAAAAAAACAAAAACAGAAAAGACACAACAAGAAAATATTACTTCATTTAATAATCAATTATAAATATTTTTAATTCGTCCAGCGGAACACAGGGCGTATACGTTATGTTTAATAAATAAAAAGTTTTGCAATTGCCTATTTTAATATTTTATTTTTTAAAATAACAATTTTATAATTTGGTAACACATTACGTATACGTTATGTAAGCCCACATTAAGCATACGTCATGTAAGCCCATGTATAGAACAATTCAATCGATTTATTAAACAAAATAAAGTTTACTGGAGTTTAAAAGCTTAGTCGTGTAATTGCCCTTTTTTTTATTAAAAAATATATTTTAGTTATTCTATGAAACCTTTAAATTTAAACAGTTCTCATATGAAGAAGTAGGACAGAAAATATAGCATACTTTTATGGTGTGTTTTTTTGAAAGTTTAAAATGGTTGAGGAAAATTAAGAAAAACAATTGTATTACATATTTTTAAAGATGATCTTTAATCTTACGTTAAAGCCCAAAATGTTAACAAATTTTCGGTTGTGTGCATCAGTTTGCAATCATATTTCCATCTGATTTTTTTAAGCCCAGCCCAGTCACACACTCACAAAATCGAAACGATTTTCAAATGCAACACACATTCACAGAGCAGGAAAATCTGAAGGAGAAAAACAAAAAAAAGAGTAGCTGGGAGAGAATAACAAACAAACAAGCAGCAACAACAATGCGAAAATAAGTGAAGAAAAAGTATAATTTCCATTTCAAATTGAATTTTCATTTGCACAAAATCAGAATGGAGATGGTATACGAATGCTACGTATATATGCTTCCTATATATATATATATATAGGGGGGATTCCCATGCACAGATAAGAAGCAGAGCTGGCTAAATATTGGGCAAAAGCGAAAATCAATGTCCTGACGCGGCCAGTTTAATGTTTTTGGGATTACAGCCTGCCGGCGGTTGAGCATACAAGCCAGAGCCACCCACCGATTTTCCCATTTTCCTCCTCCGGAAAACACCAACCACCCACCTACACACACACACATACTACGACGTATATGCTACGACGTGCAGCAACTTAATTTAGCATTAACACACACACTCGCAGAGACACACACACACAGACAGATATGTTGTTGTTATGGCCATTGCACAGAAGCTAACAAACTTTGAAGCCCCCTTCCCCTTTTCCATGTCCGAAGATCCATTCCCCTGCTAGGTACGTGCCACATTACGTAGCCGACTGGAGGTCCCAAAAAAAAAAGAATACAAAAATAGCCAGGTAAGCTGCTAAAGAAGCAACTGCTTCTTTTTTTCTTGTGTAGGTATATTTATAGTTCGAAATTAAAGAGTTATGGTTAGCGAAGAGTCATCATTTTCTAAGCAATATTGGAGACTAAAAAAGGGTTGCAAGCAAGTATATTTTAAGTAAACTTCTATAAAAAAAATTAACATTTATTTCTTTCTTTCATTAAAAAAATGATTTATCTTAAGGCAAAAAAAAAATTAAATTTTAAATTAATCTAAGAAATATATAATGTTTGTTGTAGCTTTGTACTAAGAACTAATCTATGCTAAATAAAAATAATATATTTAAATTATGATTAACTCAGAACTAAACGAATAAAAATACAATAAATAAAATGTATGGTAATTTATGATTAAATTTTTAAATTTGCCTCCCAACAGATCGCTTCAGCCTTACACTGTCGTAACGCACTGTAGGGCACTCAACTTTTGCCTGGCAGCTTGTTGCCACTTTGGAATTTTGTTTATTTCCGACACGAACCGACAACGGCAGCTGCGACCCAGCCGAAAATCATTTCAGAAATGCTTCTTTCAATTTCGCGTTGCAATTTGATTTTTTTTTGGGTGGCGGAAACAAGGGGCGGTGGCGAAAGGGGACGCGATATCACTGTAAATTGCCCAATGAAGGGTATTATTTAGGGCGAATTAATTTATTAAGCCCTAAGAGGATGCTCCTTGCTCAGCGGCCAAACGTTCCATGCCCGGCACTCTTTTGATTTCCCACACGTGCCCAAAGGAGGCGGAAGGCTGGACAGAAACCCCCCCCTCCCGCCTTTTCAATGGGCGGGGGCAGGTTGCAGGTTGCAAGCTGCAGGTGCAACTGTCCCAACGCTCACGGCTGATTTATCGTCCATGAAATTTATGTTTAGTTTAATCGAATGGGGCAAACAAAAATTGTGCAGAGAGCGGCCTGCTTATCGCTGGCCACCCGAGTCCACCCCTTAGTCTACCCCGTCCACCCCCTTTTCGCCACCCACCCATGGAAAAGTTTACTTAAGCACAGGAGGTGCTGCAAAATTAAGCAGCAGCAGGAACCACTCAACTCAAAGTGGGTGGGTTAGCTGGGTTGGGTTTTCCTTCTATTTTTTTTGTATTTTTGGGGGGGGGAGGCCAGCCTTTCTATCCAGCCCCCTTTTATTTCTTCTAGCCGCCCCTGCCTTCTCTTCTCATCCTCGAGCGTTTACTGCTGCAACTCGCAGACGCAACTATTGCAAAATTTCAACGTGAATTTATTGCATGAACATTTCTTTTTCCCTGCTGCTTTTTGCATTTTTTGTCCGTCTTCCTCATCTTCGTGATATTTTCGTTTTTCCTATATATATATACTTAAACTATATATAGTTTTATTTTTAAGCTACTTTTTTTTTTGGCTATCCTAGTTTTTGTGAGCCCGCCGGCTATATATTTGTCTATATATACATTTGTAGGACTATGAAATGCCGAGCGCACCTATATATAATCTAGTATATGTCTGTGGCGGGGGCCTTAAAGTCGGTGTTCAAAGTTATAGCGGCCGCTGGAAGTAAATATTTAGCAGTTGCAACTTTTATGAGTGTCGGTTGGCCGGGGAGTCTGTAGGTCATAGCCGTGGGGTCAGAGTTTGAATCACCTTCGAGGCGATATTTATTGGAAAGAAAATAAAGGCTTAAGGAAAATGCCAAATAATTTATTTTAATTTTTGCCAGCCATCCAGAAATGTATTTAAAATTAATTTCAATCTTCGACTTAAAATTTGATGAAATTTACAACAAAGGCTTAAAGAAAATGTCTAATAACTTGGGCTATTCAATTTATTTTAATTTTTGCCAGCTATCCACAATTTAGTTACAATATTTAACTACCGATTGAACATTCATTCCTTTTCTTCGATTTAAAATTTGATCAAATTTGAAATAAAATTACTGGGCATGAAAACTTTTACGCATTTGCATCTATCGATTTGAGTTTGAGTTTCATTGGCTTTCCCCAAAGTCGCAATGCAAATGAAGATGCCCCAAAAAGTCCCTCCTGATTTCCCCCTGAAACTTGGCCTAAGTAGCCTCGATTAATGTGCAAACTTTTTGGCCACTTGCATCCGTTTCTGGTAATTTGGAACCCCCCGCCTGCTGGCCCGTTTTAGCTGCAATTTATTTATTTATTCTGTTGCTCATTATCTGTGCCAAGGGGCTGGGATGCGACCGCTTCGCAATTAATGTTGAATTTACGATGACAGATCTGTGGCATTGATAAGACAGCAGGCGGCGCTCCCAGGGCCCAGAAACTAACCACAAGTGCACAGGAAGCTTATCGGAGGACGTGACTGCAAGCTGCTGCACTGCTGCAAAAATTCATGGATTTAGCCAAGAACGCTAATTGAAAAAAAAAAGAGCTACTGAGTTGCACTTAAATCAATAGAAAACACTGTGGAGATTTTGAGGATATTTCTTAACACGTATAAATAAATGTTAACATGGCTTAATACTAAATAAACTATTAAACATGAATGAAGGATGTATAAAAATATACTGCAAAAATTTTGAATATTTACCAAAGTGAAATACAAATATCTTAACACCTATAAATAAATCTTAGCCTCGCAAAATTACTGAATAAACCATTTGCTGCAGTTATTTAGAATATTAATAATAATGCATTAAAATTATAAGGCATTAAAATATAATTTTTTAAGTATGAACTATTATATTTTAAATACTTTCATACCTATAATGTCTAAATTGTCCAGTAATAGGACTATTATAAATATCTTAATAAAATATAGTATAAAAATATAAAAACAATTATAAATACCTTATTTTATAATTTAAATGTTTCTTCAATACCCAGTAAAATAGTAATAAATCCTTCAAATATGACTAGAATTTTCCCCAAATAAATATATAATTTCTTTGATGAGATATAAATTTAGAACATCTTTCTTTATAACTCCCAATAAACAATACTATTTTTTTTTGCAGTGCATTAAAGTTGTTATTGCTGCTGCTCATGTCGATGCTGTTCTACTTGTTGTTTGCCCAACTTGCAGTGTTGCAAGTTATGCAAGCTCGTGTCAGGTTGATGTGGAAAATTTGCATATCGCATATCGTTGACACGGTTGACACTGACCCCAAAGGGGCGTGGCAGTTGGAGGGGGGGGCGCACTGTACTGACGAGTGGGAATTATTCAATTTTTGACTAGATCAAAGCGGATGCGCTGACAGCGGGCAAATATTAACCAAATGGCGGGGGTCGAACTGTCAGAAGGCTAAAGGGACCGGGACTCGCTCTCCCTCTTCTCTGCAGGACTCACCTTGCATCCGGGCCAAAAGCAGGAGCAGCGTGCAGCAGAGGGCCTGCAGCAGCTCCATATTTCATCAGCTCTGAGTTATGCCAGTTGCGCCAGCGACAAGGCGACTCCGGCGAAACTTGGCCCGTAACTTACTGCCACTGTCAGTGGCACTTCACTCCTCCGACTCCTCGGACTCCACTCCTCTCCACTTCACTAACGTCCGTTTTTCCGCGCTTTTCCGCTTTTCCTCCTCCTGCTGCTCCTCCGCCGATCGTCGAACAATATGCAACTTAAAAGGCAAACGGCATTCTGCGTAATTGCACGGCCAAGTACTGCAAAGAAAAAAAAACAGAAGAGCGGTGGAAAATGAGTGAGCGGTGCATAGATTGCGGGGTGGGACCTAAATTAATTAGGACAACATGGCCACGATGATTTTCGAGTGGTGTACCAAAGCAAGGGGTACCCTGTATAAAAAAAATGGGTTGAAAATTCTACATATTTATGGAAAAAATAATATTTTTTAAATAATAAAAATTATTCAAAATTTCTCCTTTTTTTAAATATTTTTTTAAAATTTAGCAAATTATGTTTTTTATTTGGAAAATTATTAGAGATTGAAAATCAAATTAAATATTTAAAGTAAGATATTTACCCTCAAAATAAAACATTTATGGTTACCTTTATAAAGATATTAATGCATAACAATTTCAATAAATATGTAATAATTATTTTTGGCCAATCCATTTATCTACCCCTTTTTTTACAGGGAATTCGGGAGCACTTGTATTGGCCATAAATGGTGCATGGTGTAGTGGTTTCGGCCCTTCGAGGGCATTACGTCAGAGATGGAATGCACTTGCTGCAAATGTTATTAACAAACACAATGCCATAAATACAGCACACACACACACACATACGTCAGTGGGTGGGTGCTGGCAGCAAGGACACGGCGAACAACAACAACAATGGCCACGGCTGAGTGACCTTTCTGGTCGTCAAGTAATCGCATTCGCAACGGTAGCCCCGACAACTTCGCATTTTTATGGCAACAAACGTCAGCCATAAACATTTTTATAACGCTGAGGGGGCGGGGGGGCGGAAAATGCGGAAAAGTGGGCGGGGCAGAGCAAAGAAAACGCATAAACCACAAGCAAAATGAATTGTGTTTTCACTTTTTGTAATTAGCCTGCACTAAAGTGCTCGACAGAGAAGGAGAGGGAAAGAAAGAGAGGAGAAAAGTACTATCCCTACTCCTGAAAAACCCCTCCGAAGTTTCTGCATACATATATCCTACCGCCGGATCTAAATCATGATAAATACACTTGGGTTGGGTGGCGGAATGTACGGAACGTTCAGGAACGTACGACCCCAGAAACTTGGTCGTGGAAAACTTTACAGCAGCTGCTAATCGAAGTGGGAAAAGGTGAGGACTTTCAATCGATCAACGATTAAGAATTTCCGCAAAGAGAAACTAGGAATTTCCAAAGAGGTTGCGGACAAAACAAAAGAAGTTCTTCAGTTTTTTCAGTTTGATTAAACAATCATAAATAGCCAGAAGAATAGTAAGTCGGATATGAATATTACATCATTTTTTAACCAACTGGCAGATTCACAAAGTTAATTATTTAAAATTGCTTTTAAATATTTTCTAAAATTAAAATTAAGTGTTTATAGGTATACGTAAACATTGGAAAAATTGGAAACGAAAAGAAAAAATTCAATTTTTTCCAAAAACCCAGATCCCAATTTTCCACACAAAATAATTAGTTTTTTTACCGTAACAATGGAAATATTGATATCACATATGAAGTGTCATACCTTTCTGAACTCGTTATTAAATTTCCAATCGATTGGCAATTACAAAAAAAATGAAAATTGGCGAAAATTAAATTTTTTCAAGATCACCCGGAAAGCGTCATGGATTTATTTCTTATTTTGTTATCTGTTCAAAACAGTATGCATTTTTGGTGTACGTCCATTTTTAGCCAAGTTACAGCAAAAAAACGAAAAGAAAAAATTCAATTTTTTACCAAAAACCCAGATTTCAATTTTCCACAAAAAAATAATTCGTTTTTTGACCGTAACAAAGGAAATATTGATCCAAATATGGATTGTCATACCTTTCTGAACTCGTTATTAAATTTACTATCGATTGGCACTTAAACCTGGACATTTTATTTTTTTGCCATTTTTTCGTAAAAAATCATGAGCTACCCCCTTACAAAAAAATTGAAAATTGGCGAAAATTTTATTTTTGCAGGATCACCCGGGAAGTGTTATGGATTTTTTTTATTTTTTAGTTATCTGTTCAAAACAGTATTCATTTTTGTTGTGGGACCATTTTTGGGCAAGTTATAGCAAAAAAACAAACACAAAAAAATTCAAATTTTTGCCAAAAAACCAGATTCCAATTTTTCACAAAAAAATAATTGGTTTTTTAACCGTAAAAAATGAAATATTGATCCAAATATGGCTTGTCATACCTTTCTGAACTCGTTATTAAATTTACTATCGATTGGCATTTAAACCTGGACATTTTATTTTTTTGCCATTTTTCGTAAAAAATCATGAGGTACCCCCTTACAAAAAAATTGAAAATTGGCGAAAATTTTATTTTTGCAGTATCACCAGGGAAGTGTTATGGATTTTTTTATTTTTTAGTTATCTGTTCAAAACAGTATTCATTTTTGGTGTAGGACCATTTTTGGCCAAGTTATAGCAAAAAAACAAACAGAAAAAAAATTCAAATTCGTTTAAATAAATTCTAAAAATATATTTCGCCCACCATCACAGTAAATTTTAAATGTCGGTTAGTTTTATTAGCATGTGCTTAACTTGTTCTCCTCTTGCTGAATGTGTAAAATGCAGACACTTTAATTAAGCTTAGACTGAGAGGCGAAAAACACAGAAGCACCGAACATTTTCGGGAACCTCAATTTTGGTCGGCTTGAAGTTTCTCCTTGAGTCGAAAGCTGAAAGTGAACTTGAAACTATTCAGGAGGGGGGGTGCACCGGAATTATTTACTCCAAAAAGTCCACTTTTGGCCGGAAAAACAAGGCAACAAGTTCTGTCCACTCTGTTTTTGGCGAATTGAGCAATTTGGCCTCAAGTTTCGGAGTGAAGTTCGAAGTCCGAAAGTCCCAAGCACTCTACTCCGAATGTCCGCTTTAAGTTATTTGTATTCAAAATATTCATTTCGTGCTGGCCACGTTCCACAGAGCCGTTGCGACAATTTGTAAACTAGGCCTGAATAAAACATGAAAATGGAAAACAACGGAGGGAGAAAAGCGGGGGAAAACAAGGGGACAGCGGGACATGTGACCGCTCTTTTCTCCCGGACCAAAAACAAAACTGCACGGTTACATAAACAGGATAATAAGGCACTTAACATGCACTCGTCGCTGTTGGCCAACACACACAGCCACACACACATGGACACACATAGACTGTGGAAAAACCTCGAGCAGCAAATGGCGAATGTTGAATGCCAGGAATGCCGGAATGGCTTCGTTGTAGGCGTAACAATAAGGCGACCAGTCCGACTCCTAAACTTCCTACTCCCAAACAGAACCCCCACTTATGTCAGAGCAAATCAAGCGTTACACCCCCCTTTCCACCGCCGCCACCGCCGCCCATGCTGACCGGGCTTTCAGACGATGTAGACGACGTTCCTGCCTTAATTTACGTTTTATGTCATGTCACGAACGTAATTGAAAATTTACCCCAGCTATCACATGTTTGCATATGGGCCCCAAGTTAATAGCAGATCGAAGCTAATGAAGCCATCAAGTCAAGAAATTTACAGAAAAAAAATATTACTAGATGGGATATTTCGAATTCGGATACGGCAAAAAGTAAATGTTTCTTTAGATTAGATTATTGTTTACATAATGCAGACATTAATACAAATAAAAATACAGATGATAAATTTCAGATAAAGTAAAGTTTAATGTATTAAACCAAGTGATCCTACGTTAATTTAAAAATGTTGGCTAATTTAAGGCGAAAAAAAACGAAAACGGAATTTCAGAAAAAGATACAAACGGAAAAATCAAAAAATAAATACATTTTTATTGAACGACTTGCAGTGGCAACTATTTTTGCTCGGAGATTGTCATTTTTGGGCCGGCATTTCATTTGATCTGCAGCTGCCAGTTACGATAAGTGAAATTCATTTGGCAACTTTTGCCAACACTTTGCCGGACCAAACTTGTTTTTGGGGCCACAAATTAAACTACACTTCTCAATTAACTTAGTGCGAAAAAGCTGGGAGCTGGAAGCTGAAATCTGGAAGCTGGGAAATGAAAACACGAAGACGGAGACGCACAACAATGGCAGCAGATTATGCAATTTGAATGCAGCCTTATCTCGCATTTCAGGCATTTGTCGCACAGTTTACACATTGGGCACACATTTTATATTTTATTTGAATTTTAATAAGTCGCTTTTGTGCCGGGCAAAACGAAACGAAACGAACCGAATTTAAAATCCCAGAGTTTAAGCATCCAGAAATGTGAATTGTTTGTGCGTGTGCTGCATTTATTCCATAAATAATTGAGTTGTATTTGGCTCGAGATTTCGTCTTAAATGCAACGCTTCCTTTTTTTGGGACTTTAAGATTTTTCCCTAATCGATATAAACAAGGGAAAAAACAAAACATGACGATGAAAGCCCTAAATTATGGAAAACATTTAATTTCGGACTACTGACAATTGGGCTTAACTTGTAAATGGGGCTTAATCCCCAGGGATATCTGCGTGTGTCCGATTAGCCGCAGGCACAGGACTCACAGGACTCGCAGGATCTCTCTGTCTGGTTTTTGCAGGACACACACAAATCATTCGCAGGCCATTGGATCCTTAATTTGCTTTAAATAAATTTTATTGGCATTGCCATGCAGCTGAGCAGCTGCAGGATCTCGAAAGCCCCTTTTCCCTTTCCCCTTTTTTCCCTGCAACTAAATGACATTTATTGTCAGTTTGGCCAAAGGAAAAGGGGTGGGAAAAGCAGGAAAAGCGGGGAAAATGGTGGCTGGGCGATACGTTAACCGAAAAATGTCTTTTCATATTTTGCATGCACAATTGCAGCCTTGTATGCGTTGTATATACATATATATATATATATATATAAATTTTACTTTTATTTATTTATTGACCAGGTCCACAGCCATTCCATTCCAGTTTCATTTGCGGCCCGCGAAGAAGAATATTGCAATGGCTGACAAATTTATTTCGTTTGCCGCCGCCGGCGGTTTTTCTTTTTCCGATCCTGCAGCCCCCCGAAAAGGGGGTTAACCCTGTCCACCCGCTTTTGTTCTTTTCATTTTCGCAA